TCATGCTGTTGTGGTTGTTACTAGTTAGACATAAAGTGCCAGAGGCTGTCTAATTAGAACTAACATTGTAATTGGTGTGATTCCCAGTAATCAGATATAATTCGAGCTGTGTGATTCCCAGTAATCAGATATAATTCGAGCTGAAAACAGGAGATTCTGTCTAATCATCTCGGGGGGTTTTCCCTGATGATCTTGAGGAGGTATTCATTGCCTTCCTAACAGGTGCCCGTGACTTGGGAATGCTTCACAAGTGAATTCACCCCTGGTGGGCTTATTGATATAGCCACAGCTGATGAGCGCGGCCTCGCTTGGATACCAGCAACAAATGACCTCATTGAAGGAGCCCTTGGCTCTCTCCGTGTACATCTCAGGGACAAGTCTAGGACATCCTTGCATGTTCTCAATTCACGTGCAATGTACAAGCACAACGATACTGAGCTATTCATGGATCTCATGTTCCTGGACGAAGATCACACATTTATAATGAAGGAAGCACGGAAGAAGATTGACTCAAGTAAATTGGAAGCTAAATGGTGCCAAGCTCAGGTTGAACACGAGAAGGAGCTCAAGCATATCAAGAAGCAGAAAGCGGCAGAGAAGTGCCGTAAATTGGAGGAGAAGAAAGCACACCTTGCAAGCGTTGTTTTGGTATTCGGTGATGAAGCAGTCCTCAGCAAGCTCAGCATCAAACAGCTCGATGAGCAGATCGAGGTCTATTGCAAATGCGACAAGCTGGTACCAAAGAAGTCACATGCAAAAAATAAATCAGAGAAGATCAGTGCCATGAAAAAGGCACTCGACAGCTATCTGATCTGCTTCCCACAGTCGAAGGGGTTGTGGTTGGAGGACAATAGTATTTCTGTGCTGGACTCGGATGAGGAAGGTGAGGTTGAAGACTTGCCAGGGGATGCGGCGGAGACAGATTCCGAGGAGGATGAATAAGTTATTATTATTTATGGTATACAGACGGCGTATAGAACACAGTTGCAGTCACTCCATGTTTTGATTGTAGAGCGCGAGAGGCATTATACAGCTCTAGTCAATCACTGCCATGTGTTGAAGAGGTCCCTAGTCGCGCCGGACTCGGCCGCAAGGGTCCATGGACGACCATTTGTAAGGCGCTGTGAGACAATTAGGGATTGCCCACCCCCATAGATAGCCTGTCATTAGTCCGTGTTACTACATCCATGCAGTGCGGCTGCCGATGGAAATCCTGTCAGCAACCTAGGCCCCATACTTTGGGAGTTTCAGTATTTAGGGCCGGGCAAAAGGTTGGATGAAAGGAAATCTCTCCAGCTCTGATTGGCTGGGAATTCCCTTTATCATACAACCTTTCACCTGGCCCTAAATACTGCAACTCCCAAAGTGCCAGGATCCAGCGTCAGATAAAATACCATCGGGATTAGCCACATCATGATATTCCTAGGCTCGTAACCACCCTCTACAACAGATTGAGGCAGAATCTATGTTGTAGAGGCTGGTGCATTTGGCGTGGGAATCCAGTATATGCCTCATTATCTTCCTGCTGTAGCCCTGCCGTTGCTGCCGACGTCTGCTGAACCCTGCCGAAGTCGGCCGAATCCATCTTCTGTAGTCGAGTAAGAACCCTGGTAGTCCAATACAACCAGCTTTATTATGAGTCCTGAGTTTACGAAGGATGAGTCCTTACCCACAAAATTGGGTGCGTGCCGAATGTTGTACCCCGTGGGAATCGCAATGCCAAGAATGTGTGCGACTTTTTGGTTGTAGTCTTGACTACACTGTTTAATGTCCGCTTTAAAGTCCGCTTGTATTGGAGACTACAAAAAGACTACAAAATCGGATTTGTAGTCTCTGTTTTCAATAATACTGTGTTTTCGTCCTGGGTTTTTGGTGTATTTCCGTGGTTTCGTCTACGAAGAGGTTTTTTTGGGTCATCCATCCACTGGAATATTTTGAGCATTTTATCGTACCTCCGTCTTTTACTGCATGCTCGTTGTCATCTGTGGCATGTTCTTACCATGGGAATTGACTTTTGTAGCAGTTTGTAGTCAGTGGCTGAGGCATATCGCTGCACCGGTTGGGATTCGATGGCTGTGATTGGCTGCTGTCTACTTATGACGCAACTTGAGTGCGTGTATTCAGAATAGCGGTCATGCTATGTCATTGTTGGGCGTTGGGTGTTACCTTTGTGCTTTGCTATGTTAGACTTATTGTTCAGTGCTTTGTGTGTTGGATGCATGTATATGTGTATTTGTTTTGTTTGTTTTTTTGGTGTGTTGTACTGTTTTGTTTCAGCAAGTATTACGGTTGCTTGTTATTTCGATGATTAGATTATTTGTTACCGTGTGAATTTTGTATTTCGGTGGTTGATTTTCACATGCTATGTGTCTGTGCAGTAGGGATTATGATTGATCGATTGTGATTGGCTGTGATTACTTGGTCCTTCGCTTTGTAGCACCTTTACTGATTGTTTGGCTGTTTTACCTAGTGATGTGCAGGGCCTGGCTTGGCTCAAAGCCCCAGGCTTTGGCCTGGCTTGAGCTGGCTCGGGCCTGGCTCGGGCTCAGGCCAGGGCTTCCATGCTTGGAGGAGGAACGGGTACTGGAGACATACCAGGTATGGGGTTACACACCCTACTTCATCTAATGGCCACTATGTACAAGGTTAGTGATCCTATACACATCTGAAGAGCACAACATGCTCACTGGACTGTGTATAGGTTACCGGTGTGCCTCAAACCCGCAATTCTTAAATATGTGTGGGTACCGTAAGCCATTAGAACAGCCCTGTCACATAGGGCTAGAATGCATGAGGTTAAATCCACAACAGGTATGGTGTGACTTACCTGTGATTTGAAGTCCGGTTCAGCTCATTTAGCCGGTGCCACAAAGCCCCGGGCCTGCAGGGCCTGGCTCAGGCTTCGGACAACCCAAGCCAGGCCCTGTCCTTGGGCTTGAGTAGGGCTTTGGCCTGGCTCGGGCCTGCTGAAATAGGGCCTGGCCTGGCCTGGCTCGGGCTTGAAGCCAGGCCGGGCACAACACTAGTTTTACCACTCTTGGTTGTGTACTCCCCATCATGTCTTTATCTTCTGAAGTCCGGATTCCAAAGCTTGATTTTTCGACCGGTCATCCTGACATTTCTGGGCAATCTCATTCTGTGGCGGTAGTTATGAAAGAGCTGCCCGGTGTTGTCCGTCCCCAGGGTCATCCTGCTTATTTCCGGTTGTTCAAGGCTCCCTTCTTGCCCACTGACCCTCATGCCTTTATGGTGGATAGACCGGATGTTGGGGATCTTTGGTTGTGTACTCAACCTGCTTCCGAATCTATCTGGTATCGAGGGACCACTCAGATTTGGGTCGAGTGGGATCGTACGGATGTATACACTTTCCATCCTGATCTGCAACTTCAAAAATACAACCTTGTGTTGTCTGGAGCCATGGAATGTACTCATCAAGGTCTTTCCTGGGTTTCATGAGTCCTCACCTGCAAAATTGGGTGTGTGCTGAACATTGTACCAGTGGGAATCACTGTTGCCGAGAATGTGTGCAACTTTTGTGCTGTAGTCTTGAATACAGCATTCAATGTCGGCTTTAACATCCGCTTGTATTGAAGACTACAAAAAGACTACAAAATCAGATTTGTACTGTCTGTTTGCAATCATAGTGTGTTTTCATCTTGGGTTGCTCATGTATTTCCATGGTTTCTCCTACAAAGAGGTGGTTTGGGGTTATCCGTCTACTGGAATATTTTGAGCATTCAATCGTATCTCCTTCCTTTACTGCATGCACTTTGTTGTGCGTGGCATGTTGTTACCGTGGGAATTGACTTCTGTGGCTGTGTGTAGTCGGTGGCTGAGGTGCCGCGCCGGTTGGGATCTCTGGCTTCTCATTGGCTCCTGCTTACTATGACATAGCTTGACTGCAGAAAGCGCATTTCTGTAGTTGAGTGATGTCATAGTTGCCCACTTGCTCATTAGTCTAGGATGTGCAGCAGTTGAAGCATGCCAACTTGGTGGGATGTGCTTCCTGTTAATCCAATCATTACTGGTCTTAGGTTGGTTATAAGAGGTTCTTGAATGTTGCACTTGTGTTCTGAAATAATACACTGACTGCTGAATAGTTTGATGGATTGTTACTGCAGGAATTAGTCTCAACATTGATTGTTTTTCTACACACATGGTCTGAGTCGACGTGTGGGTGGCAG